TTWAAAAAWTTTGGTATGAAAGRKATTATGAATAGGGTATTTAAAGTAGAATTGAGATGCCTATGGGCTAAAGAGCTGAAGATTTCACAGAAAATGAGTGGGCACACGCAGCTTTCAAATACAGCTGTTGGGCTGAAATCTGTCATCCAGAATTGCTCTTGATTTGCTGGTGCTGATGATAACGTGTAGGTTTCTAGCAGTGCTCACAAGAGCAGCCTGCTGGGAGCCCGTGYGTGCCGCCAGTGACGCTGTGGCTGCCTCTTGCAGATGCGGACGACGCGCAAGGTGTCCGTGTGGCCCGTGGGACTGGTGGGAGGCCGGCGCTACGAGCGCCCGGTGGTGGAGAACGGCAAAGTGGTCGGCTGGTACACGGGCTGGAGAGCTGACAGGCCCTTYGCTATCGACATGGCGGGTAAGGATCATTTTGGATACACAAAATGATTTCTCAATTTGAGGAGYTTCWAAAACTTCCAAAGTGTCAGCAGAGCATGCAGCCCTTTGGCACTAACTATCCTGGAAGTCTTGCACCTCTTGTCTAATTAAGTTGCTGCTTGATGGTATCTGAACTTACTTTGTTTTTAATTTTATGTGGCAACTTGGCTTTTATGTTGTATGAATTTTCTGTCTGAAACAAGTTAATTGTAAATTAATTAATCCAGGCAATTTTTGCAAGGAGTGCCTGCCGGTCATTCTGCCATCAATCTAAACCAGGCAGTATAAATGCAGACCTTCTTAGACCTCATGTTGTAAAATGCTACTTTATCATGAAATTATTCATTTTGCATTGGTTATTTAGAATGACAGTGATAACTGTAGATGGATATAGTTTGAAACACTGGGCTTAAGGGAAAAATCACTGACARCTATCGCCTGGTAGATGAAGGCAGAAAAACTTCAAAATGGATCTAATCAATCTTCTGTAGGGACKTTTGCACACCACACAGCTCTGTCTTGCTGACAGTCCATGCTTAGACAATCTTTTGTATATTTTCACAACTGCCACATGAATCATCACTCTGCACAAGTCCAATTTCTGACAGAGCAGAAGATGGTCCCAGCAAATGATATAATATTGGCACTTWGACATCTTCAGTATTCCAGAGGGAAGGGGAAAAGTAAGAATACAAGGGCAAGAATGGGATAGAAATAGCCGCCGTATTTTTTTATTCTGATACCCTTGTTTTGGGAGAGGGAAAAGGACACAGTACAGTTTTTTCTCACCTTTATAAAAGAGTACTGTTATATTAATTGAAAGGTTTGATAAAATATGTACAATATTTACAGTCTAACTGGTTAAARAGGGTAAATAAGGGAGGACTGGTAGCTTTTAACACCTCAAAGACAAAAAGGTTAACAGGTGAATTTTTCAGCACTGTAGAGGCATTCCAAGTCAACATTACCATTTGGCATAAAAGTATTTGGGTGTTCCAGTAGAAGCGTTCCTCAAGGGTGAAGTAGGGATTCAATGCCCAAAACCATGCAGCATATTGAGGACTGCAGCTGTGCACTTTAACAGTCCCTGCCTGTGGATTTAGAGATATTGATACTGAGCTCCAGAAGGGATTACTGATGGCATTATAAAGGTGAGAGTGTGGTTTGTAATTCATTAGCAGCAGGCAGAAAGCCATTACACAACACCAGCCAAGGGACTCTAACTCTGAGATGGAAGTTCTTATGATGTTTATTTTGCAAATGCTGGCTGAATCACTGCCATGGTGGAAAAACAGCTCTATTAGGAGCACTGCCTGCTTGTGCTTTGACCAGTCACATAAGAGAGTGTCGTAGAGACAAAAAAACCTCAAAACATTGAGAGTACAGGAAGTTATTGCAGATCCACAAACAAGGAGTCACTACTTTGCAAGAGAACTTCTATTAGTCACCAAAAAATACTGGAGAAATTAAATTACATCTTCAATTTCAGCAAGGAGAGAAATGGATGCTGTGTGGACTGCTAAAAAATGATGTGAAATTTGCATCTTTATTCCCCTCAGGAATACAGTGGAAGGGCACAAATAGAACAGAACTGCAAATCCAGAACTCCACAGGTGTCTGAGCAGGTGCAGTCTACAGGATGTGTGTCAACATGCAGTTTTTTTACTCTTCCCTTTCTCTCCCAAAACACCTCCAGGGACTTGAAGGACTTCCTACCAAACCAAAGTCCATGCTGTAGTCCATCACTGGCATCTTTCCATCTGCTGTACCAAATATACAAGTATCTTAGGTTATACTGTATGTTGCACWTAAGGAAGATCAAGGATCTCTTTTAAAAATATTGCCATGAAAAAAATATAGGTGCATATAGTAATASTGATCTGGAGATGTATCAGCTGTCTACAGTTAATATTCTGACTCCCAGCGCTTGRGTAAGGAGGCTCCTTTTGCTTTATTGAACCATCTTTCACACTGATTTTCACAAGAATTTGATCATGAGGCTGGGTATCAACAAAGTGACGGCTTAAAAGGTTTGGGAGTGCTGATTTAACTTGTGGCTGTTCAGAGGAAGCACATCCTTGACTYTAAGCACATAAACCTTTTACTCTACACTGCAAAATACAAGGCCAAATTCAAATTACTGCAAGTGGAGTAAGGTCCTGCTGATTTCACTGGGCTCAGCTCAGTGGCTGGCSTAGCTGGCCCATCTCCCTAGATTCTTTGAAACACACTTGCACATGGCAATCACATTTCATCAGTTCATCAAACACTGGTTACTTATTTTGAGCAATTTGTGGCAGACACTTCTATTCTCCAATGCTAGACTGGAGTCAGAAAGCAAAGCAGCTGTTTCCTGTGTTGCCTCTTGCCTGGCAACCAACATACCATATGAATTAGTTCAGGTATTTTTGAAGTTCTAAGTTTTTAACTGGAGGTGGGTTCTAGAGTTTGACACAGACTTGCTTACCCTCAGGGAAGAAAAGTGAGAGAGAAGGTGGAAAGCCAAAAGGCAACASTGATTCTGAGGTATGATCTGATTTCAACACTTCTTTATTAAATGTYATTTTACTTCTGGCTTGTTCCCAGTGCCAGAATTTTAGATCAGCCATTTACATTGTAATTCTCCTAATGTGAAGATTGTTCAAGGAGGTAGATGCTTTGCATTAGGATTCCAGGAGCTACTTCAGTCATAGAGATTACCATGTGACTGTAAATCACTGGGCCAGCAGATTTTAGACTTGGGGGCCTGAGCTCATCCACTGTGCCCTAAGCACCTTTGCTAGGGCCTGAGCAACCACTTTTTTATTACTTTTTGTTATAGTCATGAGATCTTCAGTACATCTCATCTTTCTTAGATGATCCCTGAGTAAAAAAGCCAGCCTGCTCATGGCACTGTAAACCATCCCACATTTTGACTGAGTCTGAAAGAGCCACTGCTGAAGTCACAAACAAAAAATCTTGGAGTGGCTACGGCAGRCAGCACACTCCCCCTCCCCACCCCCGAAACCAAAAACACCAACCTCCCCTTCATCCAAGGGTGAATACTACTTTAAACATTGAGTTTATAATCAAGTGCCTCTCACGGTGAATTGTCAGCAGATGCCTTTCCTCTGAACAACAAAAACTCCAGGTTAGGCATTTCTCCTCATTGCAACCCAAAAAATCACAGCAGAAGAGAACTTGAAAGCCACAGAGCTCAAGCCAAAGGTGGGACTTTGATCTCTGTGAAAACCAGCACWTCTGTTTCAAAATCAGCACTGAATATTAGCATTTATACACTCCAGAAATGAGGGTGGAAACTGTTTCCAGCTTGCCTTCAGCTACTATCCTATCTAGAACATCCAGGAAGCAATGGCATTGACCACAGCAACAACATCTTTGAACAGGGGCTCAAGTTTCTCAGGATGAAGAAAAATGGTTCTGCCTTTTAATAGAAGTCAGTGCTCTAACACAGGTCAAGGTGTGAATGAACAGAAATAGCTTACGTTGATAGAAGAACAGATGTAATCTTTGCTATGTCTCCCAGGTACTTTGTCCTCCCTCAAATTAATTCCTATCTAGGTGGCTCTTCAGCCAATTAGATTTAATTTACAACCTTCCATTAAACACCAAAAAACCCCTAAACACCTTTTCACACTCCAGCTATGAAATTGTCTTGTGGCATTTCATGTGAAGTTAAGCCCAATGTGACCTTGTAGGAGTAATGATTAAATGAAATAACTGTATTTGTGTAAGCACTGTTCAGTTATGCTACACTGGAGATGGTAATCTCAGATTAATCCGTGTTTAGTGATAGAATTCAAAACAGCAGTGTCTTTTCATYTATTAGCACAGGATCATTATCTAATGAGAGAAATAATTATTGTCAGTCTGGTCAAAACCTGAGCTGCATCTTCTCATTCAGACACCAAAATGACACATCTGACAAAATCAACTGAAAGTTGTCCCTAGAAAGTTTTTCTCTCAAGTCCATCTTACAAAATGTCATACGTATGAAATTAAAGCAGTTATAAAGCAGGGCTGAAGAAGAGAGCCAGCAGATAAGTCTCCTTGAGCCGTTCTCTCTTCAAGTTCTTGCTTTATTGGATTTAACAAAGACTGCATGGACCCTGACCAAGGAAACAAACCTGAGGACAGCCAGTGCACAGTAGTCCATGTCCTTGCCACCTGCAACATTCAGTTTATAATTTAACATCCATTTGATGCCTGAATTTTGACAGCACCTTCAAATGATAATTTGCAATAGTATGGTAGCAAAGGCATGTGTCACRTGCAGGGGGGGCATGGCCCATATGAACATCTGTGTGTAGGAGAAATCCATCCCCAGAATGCAATGCAATTTTCTCAACAGAGGAGCAAGCCTTGCAACAAGACAATCTATTAGAAATTAATGTATGGGTAAGTAGAGGCTGTAGGTCCAGGGACGCACGCTGACACCGCAAAGATAAACTGCAGAAAATCTGTCTCTTCTGCTTTGAATGGGTTTCTTTCTGTGCACTAAAATCTAGGACACTAATTTTGGTGTTTACTTCATTTTCTTCTTTAYGCATGGGCAACTTGAATCTTAAATATATTTAAAAGACAGCAGTTCACACAGCTAATCAGGGTCCAAAAAATGCCTTCCCATGCAAAGCGACTTTTTTTTTTGGTGTCCAAAATTATCAAAGCCCAGTTGCATCCAAAATGTATGGTTTGTTCTGAGGAAAAAAACCCCAATAAAACCTAACTAAAACCACTAAACTGAAGCAGACCATTTTGTTCATCAGTACCAAGTCTCTGGTCTGCTTTCAAAGTGCAGCAAGCTGGCTGTACATACTGTGTCTTGCTGAGGGATTTTAAACTCTCACCCGCTTTCCAAATGATTACACTTGCTACCAAGAGCACTGGGMTAGAGCCCACTTGTGCTCCATCATGCCCAGGCTCTGCAGGGTGTGGGCAAGCCCTGTCCATCTAGACACCTATTCTTTACCTCAGGCAGGACAGGATGTATCAAGCCATATAAAAGATATATAAATGTTTAAATAAATATATAAAATATATATAAATTTATATAAAGATACATAAATGTATGAATGTTTTCTGCAGCTGTGTCCGTCAGTGAATTGGGACTTTATATCCAACTCAGAGTCTTCATCAGGGTCCAAATCCTTAYTGAAAACAAAACAAACTTTCTTGTGTCTTCCTTTGCTTTCCTACAAGCAAGAGCATGATAAAATGGTTTCAGTGTGTCCTTTTTTGCATGTATTGCTTCCTTGTATTTTCCTCTTCAAAAGGCTCCTGTAAAAGTCATAGATACTGTCAAGGAAAATATAKTAGCAAGACACTTCTACTAAAAAAGGGGTCAGAATTACATTAAGTTAGAGAAAGTTATGATCAATTTTAAACTGATAAAATTTTAAAAGTAGCTTTAGAATTAAATGTTCTTGGAGTTTTCCAGAACTGACGTCTAATCTGTTACTACTTGTGTCATAAAGGGAAAGCTGGAACCACTCTGAGCTGATAAAGAAAGGATTTCCTTGGTAGGCTTGGCAAGAGTTAGTTACAAATGTAATTTTTCCTTACAAGTCTATCAGTGGAGTTTTTGAATCATAGTTATGGAAACATACACATGGCTGAGCACTGCTGAAGGAAAATGGGAGARATCTGTAAATAATGGTAAACTGGAGATTCATGGGAGCTTCTTCAGAGAGGGTGAGTTTGTTCAAACCAATGATTTCTCAGTTTGCAATCTGAGGTACTTGACACATGTTAGTAAAGAATGGCAGAGAGTTGTATGCACTGAAGTCCTTTGAGCTGTGTGTGCCAGGCTCAGAGCAGCTGGGGCTGCCTGGCACACCACAGGTGTGAAAAGTCATTYCCCAGGCAGAGCATTATTAGGACTTGTCTTGTCTCAACAAAGATGGTAAAACCTTACAGGCTAAACTACCTAAAGATCACAGCTGTAATAAATTTAACATTTTTTTCCGACTCTCACCTTGAAGCATAGAGTGGTTTGTACAGTATAAATTTTATACATTCTGTTTTACTTATAATTGTTTTATTTCTTAATTAAAAGCAGAAAGGAAGAATAGCCCAAGATCTTAGCAATACCTGACTTTTCAGGCAAGAAWGCATATATTACCTACATGACAGGAAATAGATGAAACACACTGAAAATATGGTGCAATTAAAAAAATATTATTGTATCTTCAGGGCAAAACAAAACTAAACAAAATAATGTAGGAAGTACAAACCTACCAAATACTGTCTATCCACATGATTAAATTGACACTTTTTTTAAATGGGAGATTTCTAAGCATAAATGTAACTGGATGAAAATGCGAGGCCTAAAGGTTTTTTCTCAACCTTCTTCCCTGTCCCACTCTCTCCAAGGATTTGCTGTGAGTCTTCAGGTGATCCTGTCGCATCCCAAAGCTGTATTCAAGCGCCGTGGTTCTCAACCAGGAATGCAAGAATCTGATTTTCTAAAACAGATAACAACAGTGGAGGAACTGGAGCCAAAAGCAAACAACTGCACAAAGGTACTGATTTCCACACTTTCTGAAAAGCTTTCATGYCATCTCTGCAGATGACTTCACAGATACAAATGTTATTTTTCTAGGTTCTSGTGTGGCACACACGAACGGAGAAAGTGAATTTAGCTAACGAGCCAAAGTACCACCTGGACACAGTCAATATTGAGGTATGACATGGGGAGACAGTCCCACAGCAAGGGCAGGACAGCGAAGGCACCAGCACGTGTCCCAGTTCAGACAGCTAAAATCATCTGGTTCTGCCTGAGACCTGATGGACTTCTGTGGAAAAAAAAGGAAGCTGTCAGAGACTCTTAATAAGCAAATCAAGTGGGTGTGCTTTGTTCTAACTTGTCTGCATGCATTTCTGAACTCTCAGCTTAATAAACTGACACTTACCTTTGTTTTAATGCTGTTTCCAYATAGAGAAACATGGCTGCAATGGAGTATTTTCAAAATCATTATTTATGTATATACTTTTTTGTATTTATCCAGCTTAATTGTGTAATTATAAACTGATTTTAACTCACGAACTGTTGGTCTAAATATCTGCATAAATGGATCCTCCAAACTGAACATGCTTTACTTCATTAAAAGTAGCAGTGAAATAGGTCGTACAATAATGAAATAAAAACCCACAATCATTTACGGATTTATCCTTTTAATATAGGGAAATAACATTTTATCATTACGAGGCACCATAAAATGTAAACACAATCACTGTCATAAACCTGGATCTCTCTGCAAGACAAAATATATCTGCTCACATTGAGTTACCTTGAATGCATATTGTGCTGTCAGTTCTCAGCTTTAACACTGTGTGCCTGCCTCCTGAGCCAGGTTGGAGACTTTACCATGGGAAACTCAAATGCATCAAATGCTCATCTTTAAAAGAATAAACTATGGATTTGTAGAACTACAGTAACATCCAGGTTTATCTTTCTTTCGATAATAACATTCCCTGTTATGCACACCATAATAACGTCACAGTGAAATGTATGATGAAACAAAATTTGTTTGATACACTAGAAAACATTGCTCAGTGATACATTTACATTCTATTTATATATGATTAAACATTTGTTCATACAGTACCTTCTACAGGATTACTGGGTAATTTTGGGGGCTTGGGGTTCATATTTTTGGATATTACTAACATGATAGCTACATCCCTTATATGCAAACATTTGATCTAGAATTTTGAGGGAGAAAAAATCAGTATGTGGTTAAGCAGCTTCTTAATATGGTCTATGAAATCATATGCATTGTATGAAAATGCTTCCAATGATGTATAAATATATTCTTGATCTGCTTTTCACTACATCAAATTTAAATCAATATAGACCACAACACGGTCAGTCAGTTATATTCTTAATCTGAACAGCTGGGAAAAAAGAAAAAGAATATATATGTACATGGAAGGAACAGCAAAAGTAAATGTATTTGAACAAGGAATGTTAGGTGGCTGTTCTGGGAAAGATTTCTATTGCAACTTTCATTTCCACAGCTGTGTGCTGAGAGTCTGGCCAGAGGAGCTTCCAGTCCATCCTGCGGCTGTGCTGGGGGGCTGGCCAAAGCCCATCACGTTACTGGAACTGCTGAGGTTCATTCCAGCCATTTGCTGATTCATCTGCAAAGCACACACACACATGAGCCTGGTTAGAACTGGCACTGAAACACAGCATGCTGGTAACCAAAAGCAGTCCTGTCTCCAACCAGCTACCCAGTTATGGGTACATTTCCCTAAAAGTATTTCTCATCTAATAATAATATTGAGTCCATCTAAGTTTCTAAGTCTTTTGCCATGCCACCAGCTGTTCTGGAGCCCTTCAATCACCACCATACACCAGCTGATGGGCTGCAGCACTTGGTGTATATGTCACATCTGTATGAATGTTCCACCAGAGAAATGACAGCATGTGAAGGAGGTGGCCAATGTGGCTGGTTGGTAAAAGTGYTTTCACAGTTTCAAAGCTAACAAACAAAATTGTGGCAACTGTGATAAAGAAACAGCAAAGCTGGTAATACAGTCTTGTCTGCACTTGCAGCTCCAGATATTTTTTTTCCCAGCAACATTTCTTGGAGRCTTCATAACCTTGACTACACCAGTTTTTATAGAAATTGTCAATTTAGGTAGAAATCAACAAAGAGTGAGGTGGATTTATAAACTTGAGTGTTATCTAAATCTAACCACCCTTGCTAAAGAGTCTACTCAAGATACTGTATTTCCTTAAAAAATGAATTAAATAATTCACATTAAATTAAATTCACGTGCATTTAACATCTAGTTAAAGGTGGGAAAGAATTCAAAATTCAGCACATTGACTTCAGGGGTGTTGCAGAACTATCTGTACTCTTTGCAAAAATCTAGTCATTGTAATTTTCAGCAATCAATGTCAAAATTGAGTTTGAGAGCAAAAGAGCATTTGGAACAATTAATAATCAGAGCCAATGAACAAGGATTTTTGATAACTAACAYTAGATTCAAGTAAAAGGCAGCACTAGGTAAAAGTCAGAGCTCATGTAAACATGAGTGAACAATATCAGGTTGCAAAATGTGAAACATTTCACCATGTGAAACAGTGGTGAAAAATTAAGTAAATTGCAAACTAATATTTCAGTTAATATAAAATTAAGTTCTGTGTGCTTTCACACAGAACTGTGTATCTGCAAAAAAGAACCCACCACTGAACCAGGAAATCTAAAAAAAGCTGATGAAAGAATGCTTTACCCAGTGGCTCATCTCTTCTGGAGTAGAATTCTTAAGCAGCAGACTATATAAAACATGTTAGTCTGGTAAGTAAAGCAAGCTCTCCCCCTTTCAACTGGAGTCAGAGTTTAGATCAGGGTTCTCCTGCAGACTGTGGAATGTCAYACCGACATCCTCTGATGTGCAAGGGGTACAGGAACATGTGAAGAGCTTGTTCTAGGAGCCAACTTTTAACATGTATTTGATAAGAAGGAAGATTTTAATTTCAAAGCCAGCATGGGTCTTTTAATGCTAGCAACCAAGGAAAAGACTGTCACCAGTAAACCCACAGATTTTTTTGATCTGACATTTTGAAATTCTCACCTTGAAGAATTACTTTTCAAAGCAGAATGACAGCCTGTATTTTCCAACAGCAGCTGTTTTATCCATGTAGGAAATGCAGTTTACCTTCATAGATGTTCACACCATAAGACTGAGTGACTGAGCAGAGCAGTAAAAATTTTTTATCATCCAATTTAAGTCAGTCACTAAGGTTCTMTTCCTGAATTACTAAGTAAGCAGCATGAAATTATTATATTATTATCATAATCCAAACAATAGTATGAAAAAAATAGTTGCTACTATCCATGCTGAACTCCAAGAGAATAATTTAGGTCTGTTCTCTCCACCTCGCCTTGCCCCAATAAACTCTGAAATACCCGATTTCAAGATGTTTCCTTGGAAAATGTACAAATCAGTACTACATGTACATTAACTTCTAGAGAACCTTTTAAACACGTTTAAAAATAGGATGGAAATGCTACAGATAAACAACAGATGCACTAAAGCCAATTATCTMCAGGAAAATGTTAAGAGCACAAAGCACTTCACATTCCACCAAAATTTACCCTGAAGTCTGTAAAGGAACGTATTCATTGTTAAGGGTTATCGTCAAGCAGTTAAAATTCTGCTTTTAGGTATAAGACTGTTTTTACATTCAGAACTCTCTAACTAGCTAAGCTAAGCTTTTTACCTGGTTGGCTCTGRTAACAGGATGAGAAGAGCAATGGAAGCAGAGAACTGAGTTTGTTCTACCTTGGCACAATCATTCTCTGCTTATGTAGCAGTTACCTTTAATCGGACTATTCACTATTTATTAACACACGCCTTGAGCAGCTCACAGTCCAGCAGTCTGTAACATGGCTATGCCAYACCTTCCTCTTAAAGCCACACATTTTGTGTCTGAAAAGCATCATCTTTCCTAAAGCACTCTTGTCTSCGAACATCCAGTCTTTACCTGAGACAGGTTCCATTGAGCTTGTTGGTTTTGTTGCAATCCATACTTGTTTTGTGGTGGTGTGACCATCTGTCCCACCATCCCACCACCTTGAGGTCCAACGACAGTTTGAGGAAGTCCCATCACACCAGTTTGTGCGGTACCAGTAAATCCATTGGGCATTCCCATTCCCATCATGCCTGTGCTTTGTCCCATGACTGGCACTGATTGTCCCATCATGTTTCCCATCATCCCAGTTGCTGCTGGCACAGGAACTCCCATGGCTGGAAAGCCTTGAAAGTGAGTTGATGGTTGTGTGGTAAATGGCATAGAAGACGACCCCATGAACATACCTGGAAAAAAGAAGAGAAGATGTCAGCAGAAGTGATTTTCCTTCCCCATCCCATAAATTGGAAGTGCACCAAAATAATTTTAAGGGAAACTTTGTCCAATTGTATGTCAGTGCTGCCAATTCTGGTAAAATCAAAACAACAGCTTTAAAACTCTCAAGGGAAAGGGACTGACCCTGAGATTAACTGCCAAGAAGAGTTTGGCATCCCTGTGCTAAACCAGAATATTTTAATTGCTGTRTTGGAGGTCTTTGTTTTCACACAGACATAGCTAAACCAAAGCTCTGACAGTTCTGTAGGGATCCTGGCAGCCTGCTGGCTGCACAGTGGAGACCCAGACCCTCATGATAAATTACATGACAGAAGCAGAGTTCACAAATCTTTGGGTAAATTGTACACTTGGTAATTTAAACAGCTATAAATAAATTAAAATCACTGTGCTTTTCTTTAACTTCTCAATTACATTTCAGTAATTTTTCTCAGTTTCATAAAAGCTGAAAATAAAAACCTTAATTTGAATATAGTTAGCAGGTATCCACCCTTAGCTTTATACTTGTAAGAGTTAACTGTTTTAGGTAAAGATTAAAATGGGACTGCACAGAAGCTGTCACAAAATTATTTACCCGGAGCATTTTGCTGCTGCATGGTTCCTGTGCCATACAGTGATAAAATGGAGTCTTTGGAGAGTTGTTTCTTCGCTGACTCTTCGGATTTTGTTGTTTGCTCAGTAAATAGATCAAGATCTCCGGCTGTTGCAGACAAGGTGGCAGCTGCTGGYTTAGTGGAAGTGCTCTGGGAAATAAAAGTCAAGACAGACTACTGAAAGAAACCAGCAAAAGATGTTATCYTAAATATTTACTGTACAGTCTTGCTCTTCAACCAAATAAAATYTCATTCATTTACAGAAACTAAATTTAAGTGAATGAGGGTTTAACAATATGTGGTATGACTAAAGACAGAAAAAAGGAGTACATACAAAATGGAAAGACCTTTGGACCAGATGGAGRTTACAAAACAAAGAAAACTAAATCCTCAACCAGCTTCAGGGCATACACATACAGATTATTCACTCCTATTGCTTTTACATTTTTCATCAGTAAGAAGCATAAATCAAGAGCTGGAATTGTATTATGAAAAATAATTAGGAAATCAATAAGGAGATTAAAATTCACATCTCATTAATCCTCTCATTGGCAGAATAGATTAGAGAAGAGCTAAAACAAAAGATTAAGTGCTTTGAAATGTATCTTTGGAGAAGAGGCAAAAATA